AGCCACAACTACTGAGCCCGCGTGCCACAACTACTGATGCCCACGCCTAGAGCCCGAGCTCTGCAACAAGAGAAGCCACTGCAATGAGAAGCCCGCGCACCGCAACGAAGAGTAGCCCCCACTCGCCGCAACTAGAAAAAGCCTGTGCGCAGCAACGAAGACCCTACACAGCCAAAAATAAATACATACATACATTAAAAAAAAAAAAAAAAAAAAGAATCCGCCTGCCAATGCAGGGGACACGGGTTCGATCCCTGGTCCGGGAAGATCCCAAATGCCGTGGAGCAACTAAGCCCCTGCGCCACGACTACTGACCCTGCACTCTAGAGCCCGCGCTGTGCAGCGAGAGAAGCCACCGCATGAGAAGCCTGCACACCACACGAAGAGTAACCCCCGCTCACCGCAACTAGAGAAAGCCCACGCACGCAGCAATGAAGACCCAATGCAGCCAAAAACAAATTTATTTTAAAAAATAAAGTCTTTATAAAAAAGAAAGAAACATCGGGCAAACCCAACAATGAGGTAAATGCTACAAAGTAACTGATCTGTAATCTTCAAAAGTGTCAAGGTCAGGGGCTTCTCTGGTGGCGCGGTGGTTGAGAGTCCGCCTGCCGATGCAGGGGAAGCGGGTTCGTGCCCCAGTCCGGGAAGATCCCACATGCTGCGGAGCGGCTGGGCCCGTGAGCCATGGCCGCTGAGCCTGCGCGTCCGGAGCCTGTGCTCCGCACAGGAGAGGCCACAACAGTGAGAGGCCCGCGTACCGCAAAAAAAAAAAAAAAAAAGTCAAGGTCAGAAAAGTCAAGGAAAGTCTGAGGAACTGGTCCAAATTGAAGAGACTAAAGAGACATGACAGCTAAACAGAAAGCATTATCCTGAACTGGATCCTTGACCTATAAAGAATATAACTGGGACAACCAGCAAATTTTGAATGAGGCCTGTCAATTAGATGGCAATAGTGTATCAACGTTAATTGATGGATGGCCTTGGTTATGTGCATGTCCCAGTTTGTAGGAAATATATGCTGAAGTGCTAAGGCTGACTGATATAGTATATTTGCATCCCTACTCTCAAATGCTTTAAGCATGAATTTTATGGAGAGAGAGAATGATAAAACAAATGTGTTAAACTGTTAACTGGGGAATCTGAGTGAAAGCATACAGTTCTTTGTACTACTCTTGCAACTTTTCTGTAAATTTGAAATGATTTAAATATAAAACTTTTTTTTAAAAATAGGCTTTCCCAGTTTGTTGTTTGTCTTTTGACTTTATTTTTTCCTAAACAGAAGTTTTTGTAAAAATACTCTAATTTACCAAGCTTTTTCCCTTTTGGCTTTTGGGTGATATGTCTTGCTTGGGTAATCATTTGAAGAAGGTCCCTGAGTCCACAGCTAATTAAAGAGGAAAGGTGGTGAGTTTGATCCCACTTCTACAAGAGAAACACCAATGGGCATTGAGAAGGAAAGCTCAGCTTTTAACTGGAGCCATAGCTTAGCAGATGGAAATGGGGAGTCCTACCGCTTTGCTGCCCCCTGGGTATCTTCAGTTGAATTTCTGGTGGACACCTCAAATTTGGCAGAGCTATCCCTTCAACTAGTCACCTCTCTGGACATTCCTATCTCTGACGGTCAGATATCCAAACTCAGGAGTCACTTTTGTGTCCTCTCGTTTTTCCCATATCTAGCCAGAAATTGACATTCTTTACTCCTGGTGTTCTGCCACCTCCCTATTCCAGACCCTCATCCTTCAACCCTGAATTGTCACTAGAGTAACATGCATTCATCTCCAAGTTGCTACTCATCAATAACCTAATCCTGTAGAAGAGTTCTCAGGGACACCCCCTACCTTAACTGCCTTAAATTGTTTATTATACACAGTGTTACTTTAAACCATGTAGAAACATAAAACTGGACATCAACTCATTCTTAGAGCTCTCATTCAATTCTAAACTCAAAACAAATTTACAAATAAAATACAAACAAAAGTATAAAACTAATAAAATTCAAATTAACATTTAGTTAATTTGATTCACCCCGTAGTTGTGGCACCATGGATTGGCTCTTCTGGAATTCCATGTGCCTGTACTATCATGGGCACTGATGGCCAATTTTCCCACTATTTTCTTCTACTGGAAGTTTTACAAAACCTCAGCTAGTACAGTCAGTCACCAGGAAATTGGCCTTCATTTTGACATAGATGCATCATTTATGGATTCATTCCTTCTCTACTCTTTTCTTGTTAATGACAAAGTAACTTGGTTTTATAAATATGGACTTATATACATGCAATGAAACCATGACATCATATGGGAATACTCAGCTATAAATGGTCAGCTAGCTATGTCTGAAATTTCTTAGAATTTTAAATATTCAGAGCAACATTATTCACAATAGACAAAAGGTGAAGCAATACAAGTGTCCATCAAAAGATAAATGAATAAACAAATGAATAAACAAAATGTGGGATATGCATACACATGGAATATTATTCAGGCAATAAAAGGAAGGAAACTCTGACACATGGATAAAACTTGAGGACATTATGCTGGGTGAAAGAAGCTGGTCACAAAAGGACAGATACTGTGATTCCACTTGTATGAGGTGCTTAGTCAAATTCGTAGAGATAGAAAGTACATTGGTGGTTACCAGGGGCTGGGGTGGTGGGGAATAAGGAGTTCATGTTTAATGGGTACAGAGTTAGAGTTTTGCAAAATGAAGAGTTCTGTGGATGGATGTGATAGCTATACAATGTGAGTGTACTTAATATTACTTAACTGTGCACTTAAGATGGTTAAGATGGTAAATTTTCTGTGTATTATGGACAAAGGATTAATCTCCAAAATATATAAACAGCTCATGCAGCTCAATATTGAAAAAACAAACAACCCAATTAAAAAATGGGCAGAAGACCTAAATAGACATTTCTCCAAAGAAGACATACAGATGGCCAAAAAGCACATGAAAAGCTGCTCAACATCACTGATTATTAGAGAAATGCAAATCAAAACTACAATGAGGTATCACCTCACACCAGTTAGAACGGGCATCATCAGAAAATCCACAAACAATAAATGCTGGAGAGGGTGTGGAGAAAAGGGAACCCTCTTGCACTGTTGGTGGGAATGTAAATTGATACAGCCACTATGGAGAACAGTATGGCGGTTCCTTAAAAAACTAAAAATAGAATTACCATATGACCCAGCAATCCCACTACTGGGCATATACCCAGAGAAAACCATAACTCAAAAAGATACATGTACCCCAATGTTCATTGCAGCACTATTTACAATAGCCAGGTCATGGAAGCAACCTAAATGCCCATCGACAGATGAATGGATATAGAAGATGTGGCACATATATACAATGGAATATTACTCAGCCATAAAACGGAACAAAATTGGGTCATTTGTAGAGACGGGGATGGATCTAGAAACTGTCATACAGAGTGAAGTCAGAAAGAGAAAAACAAATATTGTATGTTAACGCATATATGTGGAACCTAGAAAAATGGTACAGATGAACCGGTTTGCAGGGTAGAAATGGAGACACAGATGTAGAGAACAAACGTATGGACACAAAGTGGGGAAAGTGGGGTGTGGGGTGGGGGTGGGGGTGGGATGAATTGGGAGGTTGGGATTGACATGTATACACTAATATGTATGAAATAGATAACTAATAAGAACCTGCTGTATAAAAAATAAATAAAATTCAAAAAATTTTTCTGTGTAGTTTACAATTAAAAATTTAAAAAAAATTTAATGTTACCATCAGGTGAAAGATCAATCTTTTTAAGTGCCTGTAGACAACTCACAGGCTCTGAATGAATACTTCTGTAGACCCCCTCCCCCAGTGCACACTGCTTTACTCCATTCTCCACCCTATACCTCTAGTCTGGGATCCTCAGGGTTACCTTACTCTGACCCCTCACTACACTTTGCTGTTACCTTTCAACTCTCCTCAATGCCAGCCTGGCTCCAGCTAACTGGTGCCCACCAAACTCAATACACTTTCTCACCTCTTTGCCTTGGCTTGTGCCTGTCACCATTGGAAATACACTCTTCCCTCTGCTTGTATTAGACAATCTTTCCATTCCGTTAAGTCCCTTCTCCTCCCCACAGTGGAATGGTCCCAGACCACAGGGACTTCTCCCCATCAAAGGGTGTCAATACTTCCCATTTAGCATCAATCACACATTCTAAATTATTTTATCACTTATTCTCCCAATCACTCAATAAATATTTATTAAGCGTATGCCGTATACATGACAATGCGCTAGGCCCCTGAATCAAATGCTATGTTTTCTGCTTTTTACCTCTCTCATAGCCCCTTACGTATCTTACAGATGTTTACTGCAATGGTTTGGATGATGTTGTACTGGTCTGTACTGTCATATTCCACATATGAAAAGGAAATTTTAAACTACTGAAATCAAGAATAGTATAATCTCAGGATTTGCCTAAGTAACAGGATATTCTGTCGGTTGATGGTAGTTGTTTTGGTATCGATCTTAAAAAGCAGTTGTCAGGACAAGAAAGGTTTCAGGACTGAATTCAAAGGGAATTATATAGTAGGAGATGCTACATGAAAGTTTCCATGATGATAGCAGTAATGTTATTTGGTCATAAATGTCTGTGATCAAAGCATCAAGAACCTGTGCTGTTTCCAAAGTCCCCCTTGAATATTATTTACCTAAAAGACATCTGCACAAACACAAATAACTTTATTCACATGTTAGAACAGTGTTTGAGTAGACAAAGTTTTAAGGACACAATACAATCAATTTCTTGAGCTCAGATTTGAGTTTTTAAAAAAATCTGTATTCAAGGTCTGGGTATTCTACTTATAGAATTTTGCACGTACTCCACCTCTTTTGCAAAAAGGTGAAATACTATCTGTATTTACTTAATTCCCCATTATTTTGCTGTTTCCACATGATTTTGTACCCCCAGCCATTTCATTGTTAGTCTAAGGTTGCATCTCTTTCACTCTCAGCCTTTTTTGAGCTTCATTTTCTCTCTTTATGTAATCAAGTATAGCTTCGAGCTATAGGATTGTCCTTTCCAAGGTCCACAACAATTACCTCCCTAGAAAATGTCACTCCTTTTAAAGGTCTTTTATGGTTATCAACAACTGAAGGACTTCCAGTGACAGGTATGGGTGGTTTTTGCAAATAGTCATTCTGTAAGAGAATGGAATAGTATAAATGATCAATTTATGAATGCAAGAGCCCTGCTTTTAAAAATATAGGTTATATGTACCTTGTTAGTGAGAAACAGAAAAAGGATTTCTAAATGATATAGGAAAGCAGTAGTAATCCATCATGATCTAATTTTCATATTTCTATGGTTATAAAAGCACACATTGCTATATTCAAATAGCCGTTGGTGACGTGTTATTCTCTCTACAAAGCAGTCAAACCCAAGAGCCACCTGGACCATCATTCTGTCTCCAACTGGCCATGGGTCTTATGTTGGGAGGGCACGTGAGTTGTTCTTATTAGGGAGCCCCAAACATGGAGCTCAAGAATGCCCTGGCAATGTTTACAGGCTGTTGTAGAAGGAGCCTGGAAGTAGAACAGGCATTTGGGGTCTGGTCCTGAGCTCAGCCATGGCGGAGAAGTGACTTTGAACAATGCATCTTATTTTCTCATTTGTAACATGAGAGCGTTGGATCCCCAAATGATCTCCAAGGCCTCTTCCAGCTCTAACATCTTAGGATTCTGAGTAAAGCAAAATGAAGGGGAGTTATTAAGAAAACCACAAATGTAAGAATGAAGATGGAACAAGTGTCCAGGCATGGCATGTGTAACTGACTTAACAAAATAAAGCAATAAGCTAAGAAGAATGTTTTAGATGACTGTGAACATTGCACTCCTTCCAGATACAAACCTAAGTTACAGACAAGACCATCCTTCATTATACCTAGCCAAGGAATTTACCTCTTCTTCAATCAAACTCTAAATGCCCCTTAAGAGTAGAAAAGCCCATCACCTCTTGACCATTTTCTCCAGCATTCTCAGCCCTTTGCTTCTCTTTTATTTTGTCCTCCCCTTCATCTTTCACATCCTCTCCATTTCCTAAGGGTGTGGCCACCACTGCTTTACTCTGTCTCTGGACAAGAATGCCAGGCCTCGTGGGTACAAGAGTCGTAGAAAATCAATCAGCAAGGTTCTTGTTTTTTTGTTTTTTTTTAAATTTATTTATTTTTATTTTTGGCTGTGTTGGGTCTTCGTTTCTGTGCGGGGGCTTCCTCTAGTTGTGGCAAGCGGGGGCCACTCTTCATCGCAGTGCACGGGCCTCTCCCTGTCGTGGCCTCTCCCGTTGTGGAGCACAGGCTCCAGACGCGCAGGCTCAGTAGTTGTGGCTCATGGGCCTAGTTGCTCCGCGGCATGTGGGATCTTCCCAGACCAGGGCTCGAACCCGTGTCCCCTGCATTAGCAGGCAGATTCTCAACCACTGAGCCATCAGGGAAGCCCGAAGGTTTTTAAAATTCATACATCTTAGCCACCATTATCACACACAAAAATGGCGTTCTACCACAGTCTAAGATGCAGACCTACTTTTCTTTGTCTCCTGAATTGTTCATCTCTGTATTAGCAGCTGTACAATCTTCACCTCCATTAGCATCTATACAAGGACCTTTTTCTGTCTCTTCATCTGTCCTGCTTTGGGAACTGAAATCAAAAATGAAAAAATTTGGAAAAGAAAGAATGGTCTTGATGTTAAGGCTTGGAAAGGAACTTCACTTTTAAACAGGAAATTAGCATTTCTAAAACCCTGAAATAGGAAAAACAGATAGCTACAGCCTTATTATTTGCTGCATTTTAAATTGTTTTATATTATTTCTAGATACATTTACTAGTGTGACTTTAAATCTGATCCCAATTTATCAGCATGGATTTATACCATTTATATTAAAAAAACCACCAATAAAAAGAAGATGCAACTGAGGCAAATTAGAAGGATGACGAAGAAAGTGAATGCTGTGGTTTCAAAGCTCATAGGGTTAGCTAGAAGACTCATCCACTCTCACAGTCACAGATCGTCCAGATATACTTTTCCAGCTCAGTTTGAATGTAGTTCTCTTGTTCTTTAAATTTTCTGGAAACAGAAGAATAAAAGGGTGCTTTCATTGTTGTTCTTTGGATCCGCTTCATCAGATATGCTCTGCTTGCTTTGGTGGCGTGGACTCACACGGGTTAATTTCTCTCCACAAACGTGGTAGGGGCTGAGGTGGCTAGAGCGGAGACTGAGCTGGGGCACGTGGGACTTGGCCCACCTCCCCTCACCCCAAAACTATCAGAATTCAGACGACAGAGGAATTTGAGCAGCTGGAGCCGAGCCCAGCTCCCCATTCTTCCTTCTGCAGTGACATCATAGAATCATGGAACCGTTGAGTTAGAGGGATCAGAGCACCAGGCCAACCCCACCCATCACCTGAAGTCAGAAGAACCACGAAACTCCCCCCTGGGCGGCAGTCTATCTGTCCTCCCCTCTGAGAGGTCTGGAGTGGCTTTGGATAAGGATTTTCTTCCTACACTCGAAATACCATCTCTCCTTTCTTAACCTGAACCTATGTTACTGTTTCTTTCACAGACCATGAACAATCAGTCCACTTCCTTCTTATATAATTCCTCTCCACAGCCCTGTGGTCAGTAATCGACTTACTTCATAATGGTGTTCTCTCCAGGCTAACTAGCCCACGTCCTTCAGATCCCACATCATCGGACGTAATTCCTGGACATACAAAAAAGGTGGCAGCTCTGGAGGCCAGAGCTGAAGAAGCAGGAGTAGAATAAGAAGATCAGAGTAAAGATGACCCCCCGCCTGACCTAACTTCAGGTGAGTAAGTGATGCCCATGACAAGGACGGGGAGAGTAGTGCTAGGATTTTCTGAGAACAGGAGGATATAAGGAGTATGGCAGCTGCTGCCCACCATGTCTGAAAAAGTCCGAAGGTGAGCCCTGGGGGTTTTTGGGCTGCAGTGACACTGGCTCTTCTCTAGAGGGGCAGGGACATTGATTTCTTTATCTTTGAATTCTCCACCAAGTCAGAACCTGCAAATTCCATAAATGTTGAATGAATGTGTGTGTGTGTGTGTGTGTGTGTGTAGAGTTTGTTGGAGGGCTCAGGCCAAAGCTGATTTTGCAGAATATGTGAACATATGAACGTGAATTTTTGCAGAATTTTTGGAGGCTTCCTCCAGCTAAAGCTCCCAGATGAAGACTCAGAGCCTGTCTCACCCTCCTTACACTACGCTGCTGCCAGACTGAGATTTTAAGAGCCCCAATCTTCTCATGTCTCATGTATTCTAGTAACGCACAATGGTAACGTTTTATATCTACCTGCTGGTGGTTACACAGGTCCAGATATACATAAAAACCCTTCGGACTGTGTGCTTAAGATCAGTGCACTTCATGTGCACTATGGTGTGGATATTATACCTGAATAAAAAGGTATAATTTTTCATCCCCGTGCCTAAATTTGAGTGTGTGTGGTGCAAAGAGTAATGCGGGACTAGAGTGCACTCTTGCTGGTTGGCTCTGTCTCCAAGATTGTTTGCTGCACATAACACATATTCTGAGACCAGGGACCTTTGGCAAGAATACAGTAGTAGCAAAAAGTAAGGGCTGGTAAGACTGCATCGTTAGGGCTTTCTTTCACTGAATGCGGCTTGCGAACAGATATCCTAAATTGTTAGTTAACATAATTCTGAATATGTATAGTTAATATAATTAGAGTATAGTTAATACAAATTCTGAAAACTGGAAGGTTATCAAACTTTGGTCTCTAAATCACATTTTAAATGCATTGGACTGTAAACTTTGTGATGCCATGGAATCTTACTCAGAGATAGGTCTACAGAACCTAACACAGTGTGCCTTACACACAGAAGGCATGTGCTCAAAGGTTATTGGTAGTGGAACATTACTACCAATTCTACAGAAATAAAAAATATTCTAAGAGAGTATTATGAACAATTGTATGCTAACAAACTGAATAACCTAGATGAAATGGAAAAATTCCTAGAAACAAAAAACCTACCAAGGCTGAATCATGAAGAAATAGAACATCTGAATAGAACTATAATAAGCAGGCTGAATCAACAAACAAACAACCTCCCAACAAAGAAAAGTCCTGGACCAGATGGTTTCACTGAGGAATACTATCAAACATTTAAAGAAGAACAAACATCAGTGTTTCTCAAACTAATCCAAAAAACTTGAAGAAAAAGGAATCCTTCCTAACTCATTCTATAAGGCCAGCATTACCTTGATACCAAAGCCAGGCAAAGATACCACAAAAAAAAAAAAAAAAAAAAAAAGCCTAAAGACCAATATCTCTCATGAATATTGAAGCAAAAATCCCCAACAAAGTAATAGCAAACTGAATTTAGCAGCAGAATATTAAAAGGATTATACACCATGACCAAGTGGGACTTATTCTTAGAATGCAAAGATAGTGCAACATACAAAAATCAACATAATACACCACATTAATACACTTCATTAATGGAATGAAGGGGAGGAAATGATCATCTCGATGAAGGAAAGGCATTCACCAAAATTTACCATCCTTTCATGATAAAACACTCAACAAAGTAGGAATAGAAGGAAATGACCCCAACATAGTAAAGGCCATATATAGAAACCCCACAGCTAATATCATACCCAATGGTGAGAAAATATTTGCAAATCATATATTTGATAACAGATTAGTATCCAGAATATATACAGAACTCCTATAACTCAACAACAACAACAATAACAAAATCCAATTCATATATGGGCAAAGGACTTGATTAGATGTTTCTCCAGAGAAGATATACTAATGGTCAACAAGTACATGAAAAGATGCAACATCACTAATCATTAAGGAGCTAATCAAAATCACAGTGAGATATCACCTCACACCCCATTAAAAGGCTATTATTAAAAAACAAAGAAAAAACAAAACCAAGTATTGGTAAGGATGTGGAGAAATTGGAACTCTTGTGCATTGCTGTTGCAAATGTAAAATGGTGCAGTCACCGTGGAAAACAGTATGTCAGTTCTTCAAAAAATTAAACACAGAATTCCATATGATCCAGCAATTCCACTTCTGAGTATATACACAAATGAAGTAAAAGCAGGGACTCTAAACGGTACACCCATGTTCATAGCAGGATTATTCACAATACCCAAAAGGTAGAAACAACCAAAGTATGCATCGACAGGTAAGTGGATAAACAAAATGTGGCATACACATACAATGGAACGCTGTACAGCCTTAAAAAGGAATGAAATTTTGGTACACTACACGTGGATGAACAGGTGAAGGCATTATGCTAAGTGAAGTAAGCTAGATACAAAAGGACACATATTGCATGAGTCCACTTATATCACATTCCTAGAATAGTCAAATTCATAGATACAGAAAATAGAGTAGTGGTTACCAGGTGCTGGGGCAAGGGGGAAATGGTGAGTTATTGTTTAATGGATATAGAGTTTCAGTTTGGAATGGTGAAAGAGTTCTGGAGATGGATGGTGGTGATGGTTACACAGCAATGTGAATGTACTTAATGCCACTGAACTGTACACTGAAAAATGGTTAAAATGGTAAATTTTGTGTTGCATATATTTTATCACAATTTAAAAAAATTATTTGTGCAAAAAAGGAAGGGTAACTCATCTGTAAAGTGGCCTGGTACAAGGCAGGAACGGGAGAAACAAGACACCCAGCACATAGAGATCTTGTTTCAACCTCCATCCATTTGCTCAGTTTGTTTCCCCACTGTAATTGTCCTCCCCCTACCTCAGCCCTTTACGTGTCCCCACCTCTAAATCCTCCAAGACTTGGTTCTTGGACCCCTCTTCCACGATGTCATCACCACCCACTGGCCTTCCTTCCTTCTTGCTTTCGCTCAGTGACACACCATGTCACCTGCCTGCATCCCAAACCCTTGTCCCGTTCAGCTCCAGCCACAGACATGCCTCCCCCTCCTGCCTTCAGTCTCCTTTGGGGTGGTGGCCAGAGGATATGGACTCCTGGCAACAGATTCCACAGCAATTTGTGCTCCAGATGGGTCCAGGGTGCATGTAAATCCCCAGCCACTTCCCTAAGGCCTTGATCCATGTGATCTGGTGAGCTCCTCTGACAAAGTATGATCCCTGAATTGCAGGATCAAGATGAGAACATTCAGGGCACCCACAAGTCACAGCTGCCTGAACTTGGAAATCAGGAATGAGCACAGGACCCAGGCCTGGCTGATCAGAACAGTCTACAGTTCAAGGGTCAACATGTGACCTAACCAGCTCGGTTAGTCTCAATGTCAAGACATTTGCAGAAACTATCGGCACAGAATAGAATAGGGCTGAGAGAGGTGTATGGAGAGAGACAAATTGTACATGACTCTGCTTGATCTAATCATGCTTGAAGCCTTGATTTTCAGTGTGGACTGGAAGTGGGGCTTTCAGTTATATGAGCCAATGCTAATATAACATTTTGGCTTAAGCTGGTTTGAGTGGGGTTTATGTCTCTTGCAATCCAAGATTCATGACCAAAATACAATGTAACCAGCATCATACTGCCTCCCTTTCCGAGCCCTCGATTCCTAACCTGAGATTCCTTGATTCCTCACACAAGAGCCACTGAGCCCATCAGCCACGTCCTGACTTTGTTGAACATCAGATATGTTCCCTCTAGCCTCCAAGGACAAGTGGAATAAAATGAGTACCTTTTCTCTTTCATCAGATTAGTGCAGCCTTTTTCCCTACCCCAGCTAGTGGGGCTGCTTGGAGGTCTTATTTTAGATTTTGGAAAGCTAAGTGGAAGTTACTGAAACTCATCAACATCGAGCTATGATATTTAACAGGGCACTTGGATTGACACAGTTTTATCCTTCTACCTTAATGGACAAAACCTGTCACTTCTTACTAGAGGAAGGAAGAAAAAAATGATATTAAACATCAAGGTAAATGGCTAGTATGTCAGTACATATAATGTCCACACAAGAGAAACGTTCTGTTGAGAAACCATTATTT